GTCACTGTTAAACTGTTGTAATAACAATGGAACAATAAAATAATTTACTCAAATGTACATAATAATATATATACATATTCATAAAAACAATATTAAGCGCAATAACTTTTTTGTACGCGAAAAAAAACCAATAGGTCCGCCGGGACTGAAACCCAAGACTCCTTTCTACATAATATGTCTACTTTACAGCGAACGGACGGAAGAGAATCAGTTTACGACCATGGTACTAGTTGAGCTCGAATGGATTTAACGTAGTTCACAAATTCAACGATCTCATAACGTAGAGGGCAACAGAAAAGCCCTGACTTTTTACACTATCGGTATTTCAGAACATGAGACACGAAGTCCCATAAGATGATAGGTCTATCCTATACCTAGTCGGTGGTAATAGTCACTTGAATATTAATTTATATTACTACGTTGTCGCGGGAATAGGTGTTGGTTCAAGCGATATTAAGGGTTATCGATATGCGAGCGTTGAAAGCGCGAAATATTAAACAGACGTAATAGGAGAAGGGAGAAAAGTGAAGTTAGCACATGTAGGAAGGAATTGAAATCAGTAGATACTCATCCAAAAGGATAGATTTCAAATTGTTTATGTTTGCATCTGGTGTCATAATCTGTCAGACATGACCTCAGAAGCGTATGCATCTGTCGCTGCATTCTGTATGTATATGCCGTCATATTTAACGACATGAGACCAGTAACTCTGCTGTAGAACGTAACGTCAGATTTACAGCATAAACACAGTAATTCTGCTGTAGAACGTAACAGCAGATTTATCCTGATAGCCAAACATGCAATGTCAAATTTAGTACAACGATTGATGTCAACACATTTTACGGAAGTTGCACGCAACTGTTGTAGAATAGTTGACAGCCGGGTGTGCAACTCAGAGGTTTTTCTTGGTCGATTTGCAGCGCCATTGGTGATATGACTCGGTACTAAAACGAGTGCCGGATATCCCGGACGCGTTTGAATTTCGGAACGATTTATAATAGACGAAACAGTGAATGACTGGCGGCTTCTGTATGAGATCGTGTATAATAAATTTGAGTTATAATAAATTTGATATTAGGTGTTCGCAACTTTAAATATGTTTATTAAATTTATTACATAATATACGCATATTATGTAATAAATTTAATAAACATGTTTAAAACTGCAAACAACTAACATAAAATTTATTATAACACAAATTTATCACACACGATCCCATACAGTAGCCGCCAGTCACTCACTGTCACGCTCAAAATTTAACATGATATAGAGAGACTATGTAATAAATGTAATACAGATTTAAAATTTCGAACTAATAACAAATTTATTATAATAAAAAATTTACCATACACAATCCCACATAGTAGTCACCAATCACTCACTGTCATGCTAAAAATTTTACATTACATACATACAGTATACAGTCAATTATTTCCTAAAGTATTTGAAATACCAGAAAACTCTCGTGTTTCAAATAATTTAGGAAGTAAGGGACTGTATACTGTATAACACAAACAATACATACGATACATGCATACTACATTCTTCTATACTTTTTTACATAATAGTCCCTAGCTATTTTGCACACACAATCATGCACGCCACATTCATCAAATGACTGCTTTATATCTGAAAAATAAGTGAAAATGACTATAAGTATGTGCACACATAAATTTCATAAAAATTGATTTATTCTATAATATAAACAAACTTACCCAGTTCCTCAAACTAGCTTTCTGCAGTCAGAGATGTGCCATCTTCTGGTTGCACCATTTCATCTAAAAAATAAGTAATATTGAAGGGAAAAATACATTTGCATGTAAGTTATATAAAAATAAAACATAATACTTATTCTTAGCCTTTAAAATGAAGTCGTCCTTTCTTGTGGAAAAAATACATACCTGGCTTGAACTCCCTCCACCGCCAAAAAGGTGTTTTATCCACCGACTACATAGCACTACATAGAAGTAGATGTGTCGAAAAATGCGACTTTAGCACCATTGGTGATATGAGTCGGTAGCTTATGACTGACCACACTATTCTAATGGGAGTTAACAGCCCCTGGTTGACAGACATTGAGGTAGATCATGAACATAGTAATAAAGGGAGGAAGCGTAAGCCGAACGGTGGTCACGTGATACTCTGAG